AGCCCACATACAGAATTAACAGTATGGAAATTCAAGGAAAGTATGACAGTGATATCTCAGAAATTCATAATCTACAGGTAATGGTACAAGAATTTAGACACGCTTCCAGGTTTAACAATTAGACTCAGAACAAGATAAAATATGTGTCAAGTCTAAATGATATGAGGAATATGACATCTCTATATCTAAATGCCAATATGCATATCATATGTGATGAAGCACCTCAAAAGCCTCGTGTACTCACCCTCTCGGAGTACTCAACTTGACAGTCTCAATTCTCACTTATCACACTCAATCACTCAACACTGTACGGGGAAGATCCAGCCCAAATGCAAATAAATCCATAACCACTGCGCTCACTATGGGTGTGCAGACTCCGAAGGGGCAGATCCAGCCCAAGCGCTGTAATAAGCCAAATCCAAGCATGAATCAATAAAGTATGCTGCGACGTGCAACCTGATCCCATAAATGTCACTCACAAATAGGACCTCGGCCTCACTCAGTCATCATTCTCTCCAGTCTCTCGGGCTCACAGCACTCATGCTAAGCAACCCAAATCAATGATATAAGATGTGACTATATACTATAATAGAGACAGAGATATGATATGCAATGATGAATGTGATTGAGTACATGACAACAATTAAGCAAAACAAATCAATAGCAAAGATCAACCATTGCGGGTCCCAATAGTACCAACATATAGCCTAAACATATTTTCTAGCATGAATCAAAGCTCAAGTGCTCTAACACTTAGAGTAAAGTAGTAATGTTCAGATAAGATAGCTACACAGTTCCATGGAATCAACTAAATCATAATTACTACGGTGCACGCCCACGCGCTCATCACCTAGCATGAGCGCCACCTCAACACCAATCACATAACACGAAATTCGGGGTTTCATACACTCAGGACCAAAATTAGAAGTGTTACTTACCTCAAGCCATGCAAAAATATACTCTAACTAGCCCTTGCCTCGTGAATCGGCCTCCAAATACTCTGAATCTAGCCATAAAAAATTTGATACAATCAACACGAGCTAAAGGAATCAATTCCATAAAAATATTCTATGTTCTTAAACAAAAGTCGAAAAGTCAACTCAAAAGTCTACCCACTGACCCACGTCTCAGAATCCGATAAAAGTTATAAAATCAAAACACACATTCAACCACGAGTCCAACCATACAAAAATTAGTCAAATCCGATACCAAAATCACGCTCAAATCCCCAAAATTCGGCCTATGAAGTTTCCTCCATTTTCCCTAATATTTCAACCCAAATCACTAATTAAATGATGAAATCAAAGATATTATCATAGAATTTAACCAAAACTAAGTAAGAATCACTTACTACAATCACTCCCTTGAAAATCACTCGAAGAATCGTCTCCAACCGAGCTCCCAAAATCAAATTGTGAAATAAACTCAAAGCCTCGTTTTTGAGACTTTAAATTCTGCCCAGTTATCCCTTAATCGTGATCGCGACAAACTCTACTGCCCATAAAATTAACCTTACGAGAACGCGACAATACACATGCAAATGTGAAGCAGTGTATCCTCAGACCTACGTGATTGCGTCCCCTTCACGCGATTGCGAAGAACAAATGTGCGTGAACCCAACTGCCTTACTTCCTCTTCGCGAACGCGTCTTAGCCCACGTGTTCGCGATACATTAACTGCTCCAGCTATAAGATCGTATACCTCACCTCACGACCGCGTAGAACAAATTCCCCTCAGTGACCAACAAACCTTCATGATCGTGGGCCTATCCACGCGATCGTATAGAAGGAAACTAGAACACTCCACACCAACAGGCTTCAACAATCCTCCATGTTCCATTTTTGATCCGTTAACCATCTGAAACTAACCCGAGGCCTTCGGGACCTGAACCAAACATACCAACAAGTCATAAAGCACAATACAAACTTAGTCGTGCCTTTAAATCACATCAAACAATGCTAAAATCACAAATCGTACATCGATTCAAGCCTAATAAACTTATGAACTTCCAACTTCTACATTCGATGCCGAAACCTATCAAATCAAGTCCGATTGACCTCAAATTCTACACAAAAGTCATAAATAACACAACGGACCTACTCCAACTTCCAAAACCAAAATTCAAGCCCGGTAACCATAAAGTCAACTCTTGGTCAAACGTCTCAATTTCCAAAACTTCTAATTTTTCAACTTTTGTCATTTCAAGCCTAAATCAACTACGGACCTCCAAATCACTATCCGGACACACTTCTAAGTCCGAAATCACCCAACGGATCTATCAAAACCATCTAAACTCTATTTTGGATCCATTTACACGTACGTCAACATCCAGTCAACCTTTTCAACTTAACCTCCCAACCTTGAGACTAAGTATCTAAACTCATTTTGAAAAATCCCCGGAACTGAACCAACTACCCTGGCAAGTCATATAGAAATAATTAAGCATGAAATAAATAATAAATGGGGAATGGGGCTACAACACTCAAAATAGCCGACCGGGTCGTTACACTAGGGGGTTGTTTTACATACACCTCATCATCAATAAAGCCATTTAAGAATATACTTTTGACATCCATCTGAAAAGGTCTAAAACCTTTAAAAGATGCATATGCAAGAAGAATTTGTAATGCCTCTAATCGTGCTACCGGAGCAAAGGTTTCATCATAGTCGACTCATTCCTGCTGTGAGTAGCCTTGAGCTACTAATCCAGCTTTGTTTCGCACTACTTTTCCATCTTCGTTCAACGTATTTCTGAAAACCCATTTGATCCCAACTATGGCACCATTTGCAGGCTTAGGTAACAGTTCCCAAACTTAATTCTTATCGAATTGATCGAGTTCCTCCTATATAGCTTGTACCCAGCTAGAGTCTTTTAAGGCTTTCTCAACTTTATTTGGTTCGATTTGAGAGATAAGTGCTACATTTTCCTTCTTCTTAAGAGCTCCCCTGGTTTTCATTCCATCACTTGGATCTCCTACGATACACTTTTGAGGATATTCTGGTTCACTTCTCTACTCATTTGGATGTGTTCCAACTACATGAGTAGTTGATGCCTTTTGTGGTTCAGGTTGATTATTACCAGGTTCACTAGTCGACTCTGTGACTGCGTCTGTGCTTAGTCGACTTTTGTGACTTGCTTGTTTATGATGCTTCTTGGTTGATATCTTCATCACCTGCAATAACTCCTTTCTCGACCGTAATGTTATTTTCATAAAATATGACATGCACTGATTCTTCTATAGATAAAGTACAGTTATTATAAACTCTAAATGCTCTATTATTAATAGAGTAACCAAGAAAAATACCTTCATCACTCCTTGAATCAAATTTTCTATGGTCGCCTTTACCATTATTGTGGATGAAACACTTACTGCCAAATGGATGAAAGTAGCCTATATTGAGTTGTTTGTCTTTCCATAATTCACATGGAGTTTTCTTCAAGTTGGATCTTATAAGACATTTATTGAGAATTTGATAACTTGTGCTTACTGCTTCTGCCCAAAAGTGATTTGGCAATGAATGTTCTAATATCATTGTTCTGACCATATCTTGTAGGGTTCGATTTTTCCGTTCAACTACTCCATTATGTTAAGGTGATCTTGGAGCTGAGAAATTGTGGGTATATCCTTGATCATTGCAGAAATCTTCAAAAGTTCTGCTTTCGAATTCTCCTCCATTGTCACTTTGGATGGTTGTGATGAGATACCCTTTTTCTCTTTCAACTCTTTTATAGAAAACCTCAAGATTTTTCAAAGCTTCATATTTATGAGATAAGAAAATTACCCATGTAAAATGTGAGTAGTCATCAACAATAACAAAAGTATGTTGTTTACCTCCAATGCTAGAAGTTTTAGTGGGTCCAAATAAGTCCATATGAAAAAAATGTAAAGGCTTGGTCGTAGACACAATGTCCTTATTTTTGAAAGAGTTTCTAGTTTGTTTACCAATCTGACATGCATCACATACATGGTTTCTAGAAAATTTGAGTTTGCTAAGGCCAATAACTAAATCATGCTTGGAGAGTTTCTCAATTAGATGCATGCTTGCATGACCAAGTTTCTTATGCTACAACCATGGATCATCAGATATGGATGCTAAACAAATATGACTATCTAGATTTTCAATGCCATCAAAATATTTTCATACCTTTTCCCTGGAAGTAATATTTTACCTGACTCATCTTCAATGGCACATCCCGTTTTCTTGAATTGGACTTCGTACCCTGAATCACATAGTTGACTTATACTCAAGAGATTATAGTTAAGTCCATCTACAAGGTATACTTCTGTAATATCACAATTATTGTTGAATGGAACTGTGCCGGTGCTAACTATTTTTCCTTTTGAATCATCACCAAATTTGACACTTCCTCCATTTATTTTTGTAACTTCCTTGAACATATTTTTATCACATGTCGTGTGACTGGAACACGCATTATCTAAATACCATTTTCCTTTGCGAATCTTTCTATGGTGTTCCTACAAAATAGAATTATCACCTTCTTTTAGGTACTCAATCTTGCTTGGGTCCTTATTGGTTAGTTCTACTAGAATCAGGGTTGTTTTTGGGTTTCCAAATCCATCCTGAAACATTAGACTTACGAAATCTACAAAAGGAATATTTATGTCCAACTTTATTACAGTAATGACATACAGTGGTTGATCCAATTTTCGATCTGCCACTTGTGTTAGTACTTGTGGTCTGAGTTTTAACCGGTCCTTTTTCAGTTGATTTGTAAGTCACCTGGTTAGATTGACAGAACTGTGACTGGTGGATTTGCGCATGCCATTTAGTTGCATTTGCAATTCCTGAACCTCATCTTGAAGCACACCTCTTTTGATTTCACATACTTCAAGTTTAAGTTCTCAGTCCTTCTTTTCCCTATTGAGTCTTTTCAATTCATTTAACATCTTTTGAGACTACTTTAGGGTAATGTCAAGAATATACCGCAATTCATTACATCTATCACAGTCATAGAATCTTACCTCGCTTGTCTCACCTCATGTCATGAAACAGTTTTTAGTGTCTTCTTTGCTTTCATCATCTGATGTGTCTTCATCAGTCCAACAACCAGAATATTTGTTCATATCATTTTCTAAAATAGTCATGAAGTACATGTTTGCTATTTCCTCAAGTTCCGAGCTGTCTTCATCACTCCAGCTTCCGAAGGATTTATTTTTGTTGAACCCTCTGGAGACTTTTCTTTTAAGCTCAGGACATTCAGCTTGAACATGGCCATATCTTCCACATTCAAAGCATTTCCCATCATTTTTGTCTTGTTCATTGTATTGCCTAGTTCGTCTGGATGACATCCTTCCCTTTTTTGTATTTCTATTTCTTCTCATCAATCCATTCATGTTTCTTGATAGCATGGCAGTTTCTTCTTCAAGAGCTTCTGGATCGTCATCAATATCATCTTCAAGTTCTTCAATTGTAGTTTTGAAAGCAACTGTTTTCTTATTATCTTTCTGATGTGTTTTCTTGAGATAGATTTTTTCAAATGCTATAAGATTTCCTCGTAGTTCATCATATGAAAGTTTGTCTAGATTTTGATATTCGAGTGCAAAACCTTTTGTCTGCCATGTGGTAGGCAAACTTCTCAGGATTTTTCGAACTTGATCAGCACTTGAGTAGGGTTTATTAAAGGCTTTCTGATCGCCAATGATTTTGCTACTTCTTGCAAAAATTTCCTCAATGGATTCTCCTTCTTTCATCTGGAAGAGTTCATAATCATGAACCAACAAGTTTATCCGAGTTTCTTTCACTTTGATGGTTCCTTCATAAGTAACTTCCAGTTTGTCCCACATTTCTTTGGTGGTATCACAGTTTGAAATTTTCTCGTACTCTTCTCCACTTATGGCATTATAGAGTATGTTTCGTGCCTTATCATTAACTTGAACGACAACCATTTGATCATCTGTGTATTCATCTATATCTTCAGGATCAACAGGTGGTTGAGCTGCTGCTGGCGGTGGATAGTTCCCCTTTTTTATGACGCGCCATACTTTAATATCATAGGATTTTGCATAAATTTTCATGCGTACGTTTCAGTGGGAGAAATGTTGTTCATTGGAGTATGGTGGCCTTACTTGTGATACCCCTTCTTGAAAGAGTGATCCAATTGTTACTTGGTTTGATATGATCTTTTCTCAGTAGCTGTTAAACAAAAGATAAATGTGTGAGACCTGCTCTGATACTAATTAAAAGTATAAGAGGGGGGAGTGAATTGTCGATTTTTCTTTTTGTATTCTAAGTAGTTGACTAGTTTATCAATTAGTCGACTAAAGGTAAAAACAGAATATAAGTAAAACAGAAATAAATTACAGGAATTAAAGACACCAGAATTTTTATACTGGTTCAGATTCAATGTGAATCTTACGTCTAGTCCCCTTGGGTTGTAAGGATGTTCTCTTTCAGTATTTGAAGTTTCTCGATTATAGGAGAGTTGATGTAGCTTTACACCAACAGCTTAGTCACTATGTCACTTCTCTCTTTTTGATACAATGCCTCACCAGTGTTTATCTCTTTTTCTTCTCTCACTAATTACACAACAAATCTAAAGAGATCTACAATACTTATTTGGAATAGAACAAAAAGAGTGATAGTGGTTCGTTCAAAGTATGTCCGCTTCAAGACTGGTACAGATGTATATATACTTCGTGAGGTCTTCTTGACTCTTGATTGACGTGAATCTTGAGAGATTATAAACCCAAAGGAGTTGATCATTGAAAGAAATCGTAGAGTGATTCTTTCCAAGAATAAGGTGGAGCTTCCGTTGATTTGCCTTAACTTGTGGTCTTGATAGACTTTTCCTCCACTAAGCAAATCTTTTTATTATTTGAGCAATCAAAATTAGATCCGTGTTTCAACTATCTTGATTCCGTGTTTCAACTATCTTCCTTTGATGGAGGAATCTCCCGTGCATAGATTCGCGATCTTGTTTTTTTTAAATTTGGGACCTTCATATAATATCCTCCGTCAATCTGACTATCAAATCCTTGATTGATTCTTCTTTTGAATTTCTGCAACTTCTTTCTTTTTCGTCTCTAATCTTTGATAATTTTCCTTTGCTTTGCTTTTGGAGTGTTTCTTCAATCATTATCGCTTCAATCATTATCCTTCCATACTTGCTTTCGTTGACAGATCTTTTCCTTAATTATTTTACTTCTTCCTTTCTCGACTTCTTCCATACTTAAATGATAGAGTTTTTTGAGTCATTCGTTTTATCCCTCGTGATCCTGCACCATTGTAATATATTATTTTTTATCATTAAAACTTATATTTAACAACATGCACATTAAATGATTTATTTTTAGAGTAAACTGAGTTTCTTAAGCTTTTTGGAGTAGAAAAAGAAAACCCATTTGAGGAAAATAATGGTGAAGCAAATGTATAGTTCCTTTCTCTTTCTAAGTATTGAGTGTTGCGGAACTTGGTTTTGGATTTTTGGATCGCCATTTCTGATTCTTGAATAACAGAGGAACAAATGATCTGGATGAAACTTACTTTGGTCCCTTAAGTGTTGAAATGTTACTTTGGTACCTTACGTTTCAGCTCAGTACATCGCATAAAAAAGATGCGATTATATTTGTCATGATTTTCCCTTTTCTTTTTTTAATTTTTTCCCATTCCCTATTTCCGTTTTGCACTTTTTTAATTAGTTACACGAAAATTTATTTTCAAAACTTTAATTCTTCATTTATAACTCCATAATAGAGAATGACTTATTAAAAAAAAAAGATTTCTTCTCTATGATGTAATCTCTTATATAATAAATAATTTGTCATTTCTTCGATAAATGTAGAAATCCGCGATGCATCAGTTGAATTTTTTTAGGCCCTTCATTACTTTATATAGGAGAAACTTTATTTTTTATTAAAAAAGAAAAAGAAAAAGAAAAAGAAAGAGTCACTATCTTTTATATTAAATTAAATATTTTTTGGTCTCCATTAATATAACTGTTGTATCTGTAATATGTTCTCTCAAAGATTTAAATCATTTCACTGAGGATTTAAGCAAAAATAATCATCTGTTTTAAACCAGCTGAAGATAAGAATGTATCAAGAGACATTAATTTTGTTATTCCACAGTTTCATTTTGTTTTCAACATAATTTTGCATAATAAGATGCTAAGTGCAAGTGCTTTACCCTGTGGCGGATGTTAGGGGTTCGAGTCCGCTTATCACCAACTCGTGAAATTAGTCTATACAAAACTTTACGATAACACCTATGTTTTCTGATTCGGCGGTTCGCTGTACGTCGCCATAAAATTTATATGCAACGGCCCTAAATTACAGCAATGACGAAGTCCATAAAATGAATAATCAACTTATTGTTCTAGGGTGTGTTTGGTATGAAGTAAAATTTTCTAGAAAAAATTTTCATGGGAAATCTTATTTTTCATTATTTGATTGGTGAGTGAAAAAAAAAATTTCGGAAAAATATTTTCTAGTGTTTGGTTAGCGAGTGTAAAATATTTTTAGGAAAAAAATTTTTATGCTACTCTACTCAACCCACCTTCCCCAAAATTCTCATGTTTCCTGTATTCTCCTCCCCCCCCCCCTCGGAACTCTATTTTCTTCAAAAATTTAATTATTCTTTTCAGAATTCACACAAACCCAAAGAAAATAATGTGTTACTTTTTTTCACATAAGAAAAACGTTGAAATTTGAGTTCGATAACTAAAAATAAAATACTCTTTTTTTTTTGAAAAATGAAGTATCATTTCTACAACATGAAAAGAAATTACTCATTTTGTTAAATGAAAGAAAATATTGTTTCTACAACATGAAAAGAAAGTACTCGTTTTGTTAAAATGAAAGAAAATATTTTTTCTACATCAGGAAAAGAAAATACTTAGTTTGTTGGAAAAAAAAACTTTTTCTACAACGTGAAAACAAAAGAACTTGTTTTTTGAAATGAAATAAAATACTTTTCGACATCATGAAAAGAAAGTACTCAGTTTGTCGAAGAAAAAAATATTTTTTCTATTTCAGGAAATTAAAAGAAAATACTTAGTTTGTTTAAATGAAAGAAAATACTTTTATGACATCATGAAAAAAAATACTCGTTTTGTTGAGATGAAAGAAAATACTTTTTCTATATCATGAAAAGAATATACTCATTTTGTTGAAATAAAAAAGTAATCTATTTACAAAATAAAAAAAAAAGTACTCTTAATAATACTTCTATTTAGGGTGGGTGATGGGGGAGGTTGGAGTGGGTGGNCCTTCTTTTGATACGGAAAATATTTTCCTCCAATTGGAGGAAAATGAGTTCATGATGAAAATACTTTCCAAAATATTTAAGTCATCCAAACATGGAAAAATTAAAAAATATTTTTCAAAAAATATTTCTCTTCATACCAAATACACCCCTAGTGTAATACTCCTAAATTTTTAGTGTAAATCCAAAGCATTTAGTAGTTTCAGACCCCACTTGTGAAACTTTATTTGGGCTATTGTTGTACCGCTGCAGACCCAATCCACCATCCTCTGTATTCAAGTCAAATCGCATAGCAATTTTTTGATATATGCTATCTACTATACTAAGTGATACAATTATCTCTAAGATTATAATAAGAATCCTATTTATTTATCTTAACACAACCGAAAGAGACTTCAAACTTAACCAGCACAGCAGCAAATTGTTCAAAAACCAACTTCTTCCTCTTATTTTTGACAAGATAAAGTTTATCAACATACAGACACATGCCATTATCTTTTTTGTCTAAAAAATTTAGTTCGATAAGGATAAGCCGTTAAGCTGTCCCGTCAACCACCAAACAATCCCCACTGCTTCCTGTTTCAATCTCAAATGTTATGTGTAACATAAAATGAAACTGAAATGTGAAGACTATGATGATTATTTTTCCCAATAATGATTGATGTTCGAGTAACCTTGTATTTTCATATTCCTAAATTTCTATTATTACCTGGTTGCTTTTGTTCTGATTTTTCTATTATCTTGTTGGTGTTACTGTTTCTTCAATTTTTATACTACTGCGTTTCTTTCTCTATTCTATTGTGATTGATTATGCATACTTGTGTTTGATCCGAGACTCTATTGGAAACTGCCTCTCTATTTGCACAAGGCAGGGATAAGACTGCATATACACTACCCTTTCCAGACCTTACTGGTAAGATTACACTAGGTATGTTGTTGCTCGTGATGTTCGAGTCAACTTGTACTATTTAACCTCATCTCAGGCTAATTCTATGCAAATAAGAACTCCTATTAGATTCACTGCTATTGCCCCAAGAAGATGTTAAGACTACCAAATTCCACGAATTGAGAGAAACATTATAGCCACCAAAATTCACTGCCAAAAATTAAAGCCCCAAGATGTTAAGACATTACCAAATGCCACGAATTTAGAGAAACATTATAAGTACCAAAATTCACTGCCAAATTGAAGCAAACTTGATGGAACAGAGGTTGATTGCATGTAGAAACAAAAAGGACAGCTCGGTGCACGAACCATCCCGCATTTATGCAGGTTAGGGGAAGGGACGCACCACCCCAAGGGGGTGTGATGCAAGCAGCCTACCGTAGGCTCTGATGCAAGCAATATAACGGTTCAAACCCGTAACCTATAGGTCATACGGAGACATCTTAACCGTTGCTCTAAGGCCCCTTCATTGCACGTAGAAACTGAACTAACAAAACAATATCCAAGTTCATTCACAACCGGTGATCAAGAGGATTGAAACGTTAAACGGCCATTTATCCACTAAACATTAAAAGATCTACTCTACAATTTAGAGACTAGGGATCAAGAGTATACACAATGGAGGGAAAGAGTGACACCCCATCCTTATGTGATTACACATCAAATCATTCAACAGAACCTAATTAGAAAGGCAAAATTTACGTTTGCAACCCGCTAGAACTGATATTTATATACATATGATCATATCCAAATCATTAATTTGGGAAGAAACTACACTACAAGAACATTAACGAAACTACAGTTTATTTCTGTCGTGGAACGAAATTCCCATCAGAAGCCATAGGTTTAATCCTTCACGAGTTCAGT